ATAAAAGCTGTTTCTTATTTATTGCTTTTAATTATTTTTGATATGTTGAAATGGAACACTCAACGTGTAACTCTTTTTATAATCCAATTATATTTCAAATATTATATTCATTGAAATAAAATACATGGATTTATCTTGATTCTATATTGTATCATTGTATGATTGAGCATAAAATGATCTATAATGATAATTTTAATAAATTAATATGGGAAATAATATTTTTTTAATGTTATTATAGATAATTTTAAACACCATTCTTTTTTGTTATCGTATACTTGAATTCTATAATACCATTATAATATAGATATGTTAAAATGCTGAAAAATGAATCGAGGAATTTCTTACAGTTTGTTGCTCATTTGATTTTTTGCCATCATAATGTCTTAATACAATTGGAATAAACATTTATAGCTGCAGAATATCATTTGTGTAAGACGCGATCATTATGAAAAATCTCTTTCAAAAATTGTGGGCCATAAAATAATTCAAAGCGGATCCTATTTATTCCGGAATCAATTATTCCTTCATGGAAATCAGTTCCTTTCCAACAAAATAAGTTACCCAGAAAATTGAAAAGAGATCCGATGGAATTATATTTTACACAATTATTTTCCATGTTTTTTGTATTCTTTTTTAGTTGTAGAGCCGAGAATTGCAATGAAAGTTCATTAGATCCAGGTTAAGTATGTTGCGAAGATAATCCATGTAAAGGTCGTTGTGTTCAAATTGACATATATGAAAATCGCAGTAAAAAAAATGTATTACAGAAATACAATATCATGTTTGTTATACAGGATACATGTATCCAGCAATTATGCTAGGATTTTGCATTCCTACAATTTTATTTTGGGTTATATCATGTATGACCAAGACAAATGTTCCATTATGCACATGGATTACTAATATCATTCTAAATATTTGTTTAGCTGCAATTGTTTTATCAATTCCTTGTTTGGTCATTATCACAGGCGGTGTGCCACTTGGATTTATTATTGGTGGATTTTCTCTGTTTCTAGGTGTATATTCATTTATACGTGTTGCTCCATGTTCGGGTGGTCCAGAATGCGGAAATGACGAAAGTTTTAGTGATTTAGTTAAAGAAAACCAAATGGTAAATCATACGCATACAGAAGCAATGGCGCAATCATGTCCATGCTACTCTTCGTTCTGTGTATCAAAACCTTACGATCCATTTGAAATAAATGATGAATATTGTTGTGGTATGACGGAAGATACTGCTCTAAATACATGTGATTGTGTTAGATTCCTTAGAGAATCTCGTTCACCTCATGTCAATAGATTCGAACTTCAAATGATCATTGATGAAAATGCAAATCTTCCACCAACTCCCAAATCTGCCGGAATTGCATTTTATAAGACAAAAGCGATCTATAAAGTAGTTCAAAAGGAGGTTGAACCTATACAATATGGTTCATGGCAAGAAAATGGAGTTATTGAAAAAATTACAAAGAAAAAAGTTATTTACAGATGCAATCCTCATTATATATATCATGAAAACATGAAAGAAGAGATACAACGTGCCAATTCTGCTGCTCTTGAAAAGGTTCAAAATATTTTATCAAATCAAACTTCATATGATCAATTCGAGTTCAATGGAATGACAAAAAGAGCTATTTATGGTAATACTTGTACTTTCAATGTATGTTCTACATCTTGTTATAATTTTTTTTTAAGCTTGATTGAAAATTCATTAGTTATAGAGAATATATTATGGTATATTGAAGGTTGTATGCTATAAACGCATGTTTATTCCTGATATCTCAAATATAAAAAATTTCTGATCGAAATTACATTATATATGAGTTGTGCAGTCCTCAAATTTCTATATTGTTAGCTACTGGTAGCCCGTTTGCTAGAATAAAATACATGTTTAAGAAGAAATTTTATTATTAATCCAATGTAATGCTTAATTAAGATAACATCTGAGAAAATTTGAGGCTTACGTTATTAAAATAGAGATGTATGATATATATAAAGTCTTATTTCGTGTTTTGTTCCTCAAATTAAAAATAAGAGCATAGAGTAGTAGTAATCACAACTATCCTTTGTTTCTCATATTGAAGATAAGAACATGGATAGAGAAGAAATCCCAATTTGAATTTTATTACTCATATGAAAAATGCAAGCATAGAGTATAAGTAATCGCAACTATAGTTTTGTTTCTAACATTGAAGATAAGAGTGTTGTTGGAGAAGAAATCTCAATTGGAATTTTGTTACTCATTTTTAAAATAAGAACACCGAATGGAAGTAACTGCACTTCGCTATGAAGTTGTTTATGTATACAATAGCATTTTAAGCTTTCTTGAACTCACATTCTTTCAAATTCAACTGAAATTCCAGAAAATATCAAAATTTTATGATTAAAAATGTTTCATCTTTATGATTTACCTATATCTGGCTAAACTTAAGTAATTAAAGAAAAAATAAAGATAAATTAAAAAAAATTAAAAAGTTTTTTATTTTAAAATTGAGAAGGGAAAAGTCTTGATCGAGTAGTTTGTGTCTTCTTCGGTTCCTGTTTAATTTCGGTGCTCGTTGGCTTTGAAGAGTCAAATGAAGCTATTTCTTGCTCTAAAGAAGCAGATTTGATTCTGATTGACTCGATGTACGCGTTTATTTGGGACATCTTTGCATCATGTGACTCTTTCATCTCTTGGAATTTTTGAATAATTTTATCCAAATTTTCATCTGAAGATTTTTGCTCTTCTTGGATTTCATTGAGATGAGTATCGAGATCAGTAACTTTTTGGTTCATTTCTTGATTAGTTTTGGTCCTTTCTTCATTGATTTTTTGTAATTTTGAAATTTCTTTTTCTAATTTATCAGTAGACTCTTTGACTTCGGTGATTTCGTTCTGGAATCCTTCTTGCAATGCAATTCTCTCGTTCTGGAGTGCTACAATTTCGTTTAAACGGTTTTGGAGATTTGGAATTTCCGAAATTGTCTGTTGTAGCTTCTGGCTTATGGATTTGGCGCTGGTTTCATCAGTAGTAAGGCTGAGTTTGGCTGATCTGAGCTGGGAACGCCTTTGATTCAGTTGATTTTCAAGATCTTGTTTTTCATTTTCTTGTTTTTGCAGAGAATTGACGAGATCTTTGATCTTTGAGTTTATATCTGTCAGTTCTTCTTTGGCTTTGGTAGTATTGGCGTTGTTCTTAACGATGTCCTCAGAAATATTATTTTTTGATAAAATTGATTCGGAAATCGAGCGAGAAACCTCGCCAATGATATTATTTGTTACAAATATATCATTGTAGTTGCGATTGATCGTATCCTGGAGGTTGTCTACGCTTGATTTCAAATCTTTAAACTTTGCTTCTTGTTCTTCGACTTCTGCTTGAAGTTCGACCTCTTTTTTGTGATAGGTATTAGTATGTTCGAGTAGTTTAGAGGCGTACTCTGATAATTTTCGGATTTTTCTTGATTTGATTTCAGATTTTTTCTGAAAATCTGAGTTTCGCTCTTCGATATTGGCTGTATTCTTAGTAAATATGGCTGAAGAGAGCTTGATTGTTTCCATTTTAATGGAAAGTATATCAGATAAAGGTTCAAAAACTTTGATAAGCTCTGATAATCGATTTAACGTATCGATTGCATCATACTGTGATGCGTTATCAGCATTTTCAGCTTGGCTACTCGGTTGTTGAGCCTGGGAGCTGTTTTCTTCCATCCGACCTATTCATTCATCGCATCACTAAAACGTGACTAATAATTTACATCTTCTTTATTAAATTATAATAACATGTACTTCTTATGATTACAAATACAAATATCAGAAAAGGGGAAACTCATTTTTTAGACCAAAAAAAGTGGCATCTGAGTATATTGTTTTTGCTTTATCTGATCATCTAAAAGGAATCGATCCACGTTATTGGTATGAAACAATGATTTACTAGCGATTAAAGGATGTTCATATTGCAAAAATCCAATATTGTGATGTTCAACTCATAAAATATAACATATTATTATCAGAGTTATTTGATATAATTTCAAGAGCAGTCATTGATCAATGTGTTATTAGAAGGATATGTATATATCAAATTATTACTGGAACTCGGTACTATTATGTTTAGAAAGAGGGAAAACGTTGCACTATCACCGGACCAAATAAAATTTGACGTTGAATGACAGATTGCTCTCAATTATTTGAATTAATTGAATTTTTAATCAAAATTTGTAATCAATGAATAAAAGCATAAGAATACGTATTTAACTAGTGATTTATTTTTTCACATTATTTGTATCTGCTTTCATGTATAAGAATCCAAAGATGGTCAAACATTTCTAAATTTAATTCAAACGTTAAAATAATTTTATATTTATACCCATATTATTTAATGTTTCAGCTGATGTAGAGGTACGGATGTTGTTCTATTTATAAGAGAAATATTTTTTTCATGATTATATATAAGAATTTTTCATATGAAAAAGATTTTTAAAATAAAAGTGTTATGAAAAATCTTAGAATAATCGAAATATAATATGCAAAATCTGATATCAAGAAATAGAAAAATATTTTTTGGAAAATTCGTCTAGTCTGGCATATATCATGTGAATTTGAAGAGTGTAGCAGTACCGACAGTGTAACTAAATACATTAATTTTTAGAAACAATGTAAAATGCAAGTAAAAAAATTGATAACGCGCAACGTTGTTTTTCAATTTACAATCTCAGAAAAACAATCGATAACCAAAAAATAGTCTTAGTCAATAGTAGATTAAGTTCAATAATATTTAAAATTATGGAAATTTGACAAACATAAAACCACTATTTTCAATGTTTTTTGCTTTAGTTCTCAGTGCATTTTCAGCATATTGCAATGAAAGTTCATTGCAAGAAGGATATGTATGCTGTGAGGATAGTCCTTGCGAGGGTCACTGCATAGAATATAACGGAACCAATAATAAAATCGTCGGAAAATGCGTAGGCGACACACCTTATCAATTGTGTTATAAAGGAAAGATTTTCCCAGTTACTATGATCATGTTTTGCGTCCCTACAATTGTATTTTGGATTTTTGCTTGCATTACAGACACAAATGTTCCTTTATGCACATGGATATCCAACATTGGCATAAACATATGCATTGCTGCTATTGTTCAATCAAGTATATGCTTAGTTATGGTTCCAGTAGCTGCAGCTGCAATTGCTTTTCTATCTTTAGGATCATCACTATTCATAGCATTTTATATCCTTGTAAGAGTATCTCCTTGTGCAGGTGGTCCAGAATGCTGTACTAATTCCATGTCTAACCTGACAAAAGAAAGTCATGCAATGAATCGTGCAAGAAGCAATAATAACTGTTGCGAGTGCTGTTCATGTTGCTCATACTGCAAATCTGGGACTTATGATCCAATTCAGGCAGAAGAAGAAGTTTGTTGTGGTCTCACAGAAGAAAAGATAGAAAACACGTATGACTGTGTCAGATTCCTTAGAGATGTTCGTGCACCTCGTGTATCCAGAGAAGAGCTCCAATCTATTATGGAAGAAAACGCTTCTATCCCAGCAACTCCAAAAGCGATAGGTATCGCCTTCCACAAGAAGGATGATGGATACAGCATTGATAAAAGAGAATTTGAACAATAAACTATTCGACATGGCAAGAAAACGGAAATCTTGATCAAATTCAAAACCAAAAAGTAATTTACTGCTGTTATCCACGTTACGTTTATAATGAAAACATGAGATTAGAGATAGAGCGTGCCTTGACTGCTGCTGCAAACAAAGTTAAAGAAGCTTCTCAGTATTATAGTTCTTATGACGTGTTTGAAGTTAGTGGTATGACCAGACGTGCATATTATGGTGATTCGGCTACTTTCAATACATTTCCTAAGACACTATACCGAATTTTATACGAAATTCTTTTATTGATCGGATATAATGGAATTTCTGACTTTTTCTGGAATAGAAACACTCAAAAATTATCTTTGAATCCGTAAAGGAGGTCTCAATGGATGGATCTCTTCGTGCTAGATTTGGAGAACGAGATCAAACTTGCACTGAAAATATTAATGAAGAAGCAGCTAAAGGAGATACACTTATTGATACTTTAGTGTAAGATATTCTTACTATACCATCATTCAGGACTTTTTGAAAAATTACTATAACAACAAAACAAAAGAGGAACATATTGAAGTTTTGAACTTGGAGATGATGAAATTGTGAGAACTACAGTTATTTTCAGAAGGAAGAAATCAGCTTGAAATAAAAATCGAATTATTCTGGATTTTTGATTAAAAATATAAAGCTTTTTTATAATGTAATTTGGTAAAGTTGAAAATAGAGAATTTTATTGATTTTCTTAATTAGAAATGTAAACTTAAGAAAATAAAAATAATTATTTGATAACTAAATAATATATATTATTTATGAAAATTTTTGTTGATTCAAAATTAAAATTGAATGAGCTCATTGAATTTTAATTTTTATTTTGTAAACATCTGAATTTTGATTTTAGAAGTTTATGTCTATTCGAATGTCACGTTGAAAAATGAATATGCTCAGCATAAACATATGCAAATTTAACCATCATTGATGATTGGCGGTTCTTTACAAATGAAAACGATTATGATTGTTTTCATTCATGCGTTTTTCTAAGAAAAATGCATAATTACTCATGATGTAGAGCCATAATCTGATTGGTTTTAAGAAATTTTTTGATAAGTTATGCAAGTTTTGAAAGCAATTTGGTCCATATCTTCAGAATATTTTGAACGCACACAGAAATTGATAGTGATGCAAAATTTTGGAAAAAAACAATCATTTTTAGATAATGTCATACAAGTTAAGCTTCATCGGTTCCGGAAACTTCGGCAGCTGCATTGCACGCCACTGTGCAGCTAACATCAAGAATGTTCCATCAATGGATCAACACATTAAGATGTGGGTTCTCGAAGAAGTCGTCAATGGCGAATCTCTTATCCACACTATCAACACTACACACGAGAATATCAAGTATCTCCCAGGATACAACCTCGGCGAAAACGTCGAAGCAATTGGCGACGTCGTCGAATGTTGTGACGCAGATTTCTTCATCTTCGTCGTTCCACACCAGTTCCCCAGCAACACTCGAGAAATGAAAGGCCACGTCAAGAAGACTGCTACAGGTTGCCTCCTCACAAAGGGAATCAACTTCAAGGATGGCAAGATCCAGCTCCTCACAGACACAGTCGAAGAAATCCTCGGCATCAAGTGCGGTTCTCTCATGGGTGCCAACATTGCAAACGAGATTGCTCGCGGTGACTTCTGCGAGTCAACATTAGCATTCCCAGACATCCCAGAGCGCGATACATGGAAGCAGCTCTTCGACTCACCAAAGTTCAAGATCTCATGCACCAACGACATTGTTACACAGCAGTTGAGTGGCACAATGAAGAACATCATTGCCATCGGCGGCGGCATTGTTGATGGCCTTAACATGGGTCAGTCAACAAAGGCAGCAATCCTCCGTGAAGGCTTCGTCGAGATCTACGAGTTCGCCAAGATGATGTTCCCAGACAGAGGCGTCGACATCCTCACAATGATTGAGTCATGTGGTTTCGGCGACATTGTTGCCTCATCATACGGTGGCCGTAACAGGAAGTGCGCCGAGTACTTTGTCAAGTCAGGCAAGTCATTCAAAGAGTGCGAATCAGAACTTCTTAATGGTCAGAAACTTCAAGGTACACTTGCCGCTGCAGAGGTCTACAAGATCTTAGAAGAACGCAATGCAACAGACAAGTTCCCACTCTTGACAACGATCCAGCTCATCAGCGAAAGAAAAGTTGACACGTCCGAGATCATCAACTACAGATCTAACAAGGCAGCAAAGACAGCATCTGCTTAATCGTTATATAACTATGTACACATACTATATATATTAATACTAATACTAATATTAATAATAAACATACTATCCTTCTATCCTTAATTTCAAGTTCTTTTTTTCTTTTTATTCTTCTTTTTTGGCAGGACAACGTCGTTCTCTGCTGTTCTGCTTAGGTACATATCATATAAACTATTCCTGATATTACTTACAGAGATAAATTTCAGAAATGATTTGATTTCTGATTCATACTTTGTGAGATAATATGTTTTTTTATAAAAATAGATAATATATCGAATATGCCGCCATATTTGCTGTTTTGTGAAAATAATTTTCTAATTGATCTAATATTTTGTAGATTTGTCAAAAATAGTATTCGATATATGTTTGTTAAGTTGATGGAAATGTGTCCGATAAAAGTTCATTTTTTTAATGCCTTTTAACTGAGATTCACTATAGATAACATCAATATTCCAAGATAAGTTTCGTCGTGTTTACGACTACCCATGTCCAGAAGACACACATACATGTCATCCTACAAAGGTTGACTTACCAGCAGGAAGTTACCTTTTCGAAGTCTGGGGTGCTAGTGGTGGCAATGTCACGAGTGCTACAGGCGGCCTTGGTTCATACACATCAGGTGTTATCAGACTCTTCCACACTCAAACATTCTATCTCTATATTGGTTCACATGGTTCACAAGCAGACTCACTGAATCCATATAACGGCGGCGGTTCCGGTGTCAACACTACAGACTCATCGAGCGGCGGCGGCTGTAGTGATATCCGACTTAAGAACGGCACAGATTTTGAATCACTGAAATCCAGAATCATTGTTAGTTCTGGTGGTGCTGGTGCTTCTTCAATTACTTCATATAGTTGTCCTGGTGGGAATGGTGGTATTTTTTCAGGACAGAACGGAAGCAAAGCTTCAATAAGATATGAATATTCAATTACTATCTCTGAGGGTGGCCAGCGAGATAGAGGTGGGAAAGCTTCAAATGGAACTCATTCAAATGGAGATAAAACAACAGGATTTCCAGGAGAATTTGGGAAAGGTGGTAATGTTCGGAAAGTAGGAATTTATGGTTCAGGTGGTGGGTGTGGGTATTTTGGAGGCGGTGCAGGAGATGATGGATGGGATACTATCACTTCTGGTGCCGGTGGATCGTCATATGTGTCAGGATATAATGGATTTATGACGATCGATGAAACATCGAAATCAAGTTCTGAATATAGGATGTTGCAAACATCTTTCCATCCAAGTGGACTTTATTTCACAGATGTTAAAGTTAAAGACTATCTTAGTGAATTCTCTTCTCCATATGGCTACAAAGAAACAGGCCACACCGGTCATGGTGCTATTGCTATCACTCTCCTCTACACTGTTCAATTCTCATGTAACTTTTTCTATTCTTTTCAACATTTCTCATACTTTTCAATTGTTATTTTGTTTCAAAAATAAAATATGCATACATTTAGTTATAATTATATCTTGCTACTAAAAGCTAATGTGTGTATTCTGAGTTTTATGAGTATGATTTGAAAAGAATTGTCATCATGATTTCGTTATCTATAAAAAGTCTATTTTCTTCCTAAAACGATTCCACTTGGTTTATGTAAGCTTAGATTGAACATTTAAAGTTATTTTTTACTCATAATTATAGAAGATGAAAAAAATTTAATCCCAGTAGTCAACAATAGCATAATGATCAATATCTGCGAATCTTTTGATCTTGAATGTATCAGATTCCTTTGGAGGAACGTAAGCTACTTTTGTATGTCCAACAGATGCACGAGTTGGACGAGAAGCTCTAGTCAACGTAGCACGTCTTGAAGTTGAACTAGATCGTGTTCTCATCGAAGCCTCCATTTGACGCTTAGCAAGTGCCCTTTCTTTTGCATCACGTCCAAATTTCCATGTAAGGCAATCTTTCATCTCGGATGTAACAGGTGTTGGCATACCATGGGTCATGTTAACAACACGTGTGTGGAAGTCTGATTTTGATTCCATTGCGCCGTCAGCATTTCTGGTTTCTTCATAATTGGGTGATTCTGCTGGTACTCTCTAAATTCTTTGGCTGTGCGGCATCCATGTCTGATAGCAGCACGATTGGTAGCTATATAGTCATTGCTGGGTTTAAATTCAGTTGTTCTACGTGTTGAAGGTAATTGCTCTGGTGGGTTATCAACCTTTTCCCAGTTCTGGAACATCTCTTTAACACCATCACCAACTTTAGTCCTGCATCCGTACCTGAAATCCTCCGGAGGAAGGTCATGAGTAGATGGTGGTGCATGTCCTACCTTATTACGGCTGAGAAGTGGGTTTTTCAGCATGGAGGGTCTCATATCACGGAAAGCGCGGGGCTTCATTTTTTGAATATCCTCAAAAAAACGTTTTTTTACAATTTTTATCCGTTACATAGCCATTTTAATTCCGAACTTCTACCAGCAAGCATATTACCCCAATGGGTTATTAAAGAACGCAGTTATTCATGAAAATTTCAAACAGCTTCAAATTGAGGAAAAAGAACTTTAAGATAATGGAAGATCTCCCTTAAAATATGAATTTTTATTGCACAAGCTATCTTTTATTACTTGATAGATTTGTCTAATTTATTTTTGTGAATATTATTTATTACGAAATCACTCTCAATTACTTTCAAAATTGAGATTCAAACGGCAAATATAATAATTATGGTTGAACTGGTTTTGATTCTTCCTTTCTTGATTTCGGGTAGGTGACTGTTAAGTTTGCATAATGTATCTTTATATTTTAGCACTTCTACCCTTGAATCTTCATTTTATCTTAGGATATTTAAAGACTCAAAGCTTTGAAAAAATAAATAGTACAGCTATGTCATATTCCAAAAAACAAATATTGTTTAAGTGTAAATAGATAGATATATTTACAATAATATAAGAAAAAATAAATTAAATTAATAACGAATTCACAAAGGCGTGTGTTTCTAATATTTTATCTCGTCTTCATCATGCAAATTTATTTTTGAGTTATTATATTCAGAAAAATATTCCAAAATCTTCATTTTCTTGTATAATTCATCTAAAACATCTCTGCTTGCATATGCATTTGATACAAGATGAACAAATTGGTTGTGGAAATAATCTATTGTAAGATTTGGATTCTCTTGCATTTTATATATTATATTCTGCAGGAAATTATCAGTAATGTATTCTATGTCTTTTGTGTCGACATATTGTTCAATCTCACTTTTAATTTTGTCGGATACATTAACATTTGTAAATCCAGTAGACATTTTGCTAAAATTGCACTCTGAATTTATTTTGTCAAGAATTGTATTCCAATTAAGTGTTTTAAATAAATGAGTTTGCTTGCCATCTTTAAATAAAGCTAAATTAGCATAATTATTGAATTTATCGCACGAAGAATAGTAATTAATACAATTGATTTCACCGAATTTAATATCAGTGTTCTCATAAACATTTGTTAGCATTCGAATGATCTTATTCAAAACGTTGATGTAGGAAAATCCGTTCTTAAAAAGTACTAGTGCATACTTATTGTTTTGAATGAAATTGTCAATTGTATATAGTGTTAATACTTTTAGTTGATTTGAAGAGAAAGTACTGGATTTTCCTGTTGCCATTTCAATAAAATTTATGAATTCGTTCACGGTTCGCTTACCTATAAACTCGATAGGTTCAGAAATATTATATTTCTTTAAAATGAATGATGGCGTTGAATAAGCATGAAAAAAATTGCATACTGATGGATTGAAATCGCAATTTACGCTTATAAATGGTACATCGTTGAAGTATCTTGCTGCTTGGTTGAACTTAGGATTTGATTTTTGAGATGATTTGCAATTCGAGGAATATAAATTGAGGAAAATATTATCATGAGTTGAGATATAAAAATACCATGAAGATGGGAGATCGGCCGCATATTCTTTTGATAAGAAAAGGAAAGAAAAAAATAGCAAGTTCATAAAAAGTGACCAAATTTTTTGAGATTGCATTAATCATTTTTGGAAAAATTAGTGTGCTGATATGTGACTGCTTTAAAAATCAATTGATTGTATGTCAAAAAAAGTGACGTTTATTTTTGCTTTTACGTTCATCTGATAGTAAAAACAGAACAAATCCCTAGGAATCATATGAACTAGTAGAAAACCAGCAATTTTATATAGATGGCATAACAGAATTTAGATTGTTTCAATAATCTTCACCATATTCCGCAATTTAAAACCAAGCATGCATTGTTTCCCGTATCTATCACTTGAATGAATAATATCGCTTAGAAATAATGATGTTAATAACGTTAAATTGAAAAAATAAAATTAAAAAAAAAATTACGCACCTAATCCGCATGACTTTTGGATAAGAAATGAACCAACGTCCGAAAGAATTTGATAAATATAAACCGTAAAAATCCTTAAGATTATGAAGGAATATCCCCGAAATTAGCTCGTATAGCAACAATAACAGTCAATAGAATTAACTTCAATTGTTGTAATGTAATTTATACCAAGAATCACTCCCTTAATACCGATTTATGCGCATCATGAGCACTTCCTATTTTATAAATAATCAAAAGGCAATATCGTGAAGAATATCTTAATACCATCTAATACCCTTTAATTTACTAAAATAAATGACTATTTTTACATATTTTTTAAATACAAGCATTTATTCAAGATAGAATGTATATTAATATTAATAGCATAAGCTATCAAAATAAATTTTTGTTATGTTTCATTGTTCTCTCTTACAGTTATAATGATTTTCTAAAATCTAAATTATTCATAATCAAAATTTGAAAATACAATTATAAAATAGTTAATCTTCAAATTTAAACTTATTTTATCGATTTAAATTCTTTAAAATTGGTTTCATTTATGCAAGAAAAAGATTAAAAATAGAAAAACATTAAAAATTTCCAAAAAAATTATGAATTATAAAAATTATTGGTAAAAATAAAAGGATTGACATTTTTTCTGATTTCATAAGAAATTTTGAAAATCAACACACAGAATGTTAGGTTCCACTCTCATGTTGCAACAGCATTCACGCAAAAGAACTTAGAAATCGTATAATATTTTTTTCAATTTCCTTTACTCTCTTTATAAAGTTTGCCTACAAGCAATGGTCCTTCCAATCAATTGATTTTTTGTTATACAAAAGCCAATAAATCGAATATTATATCTTCAGAAAAATTTTCAACGTTTCTATAACAAATACATAAGCATTCAACGGTCGATCATTCATCAGAAGAGATAATTAAAACAATACAAGGTGCATTGATTTTCGTTCACTTAAAAATAATTTCGTATCGGTCCAGAAATTCACAGAATTGATGATTTTTGGGAGTCCTGTTGCTTTGAAATTATTCGCTTACAGTCTATGAACTATTTTTTCACTATTAATTCAGATAGGGAAAATGAAATACACATATCATCATGATTATGTTTGATTTAGTTGTGGCATTGACTGTTAGAGCATTACAGACAATGAACTATAAACCAATACATACTTATGAATAAAAAAATTTGATTTTTTTTTTTTACATAGCAAACATTATAGCATCATACATAAACATTTATGTGCATTTCATTATTTTCGGTATTTTTTTTTAAAATAGCAAGAAATGAAACTAGAAAACTCCAATAGAAAATAACGTATGTATAGTTAACCAAGACAGCAATCGCTTAAGCATATTTACACCACTTATGGGATGTTTAATTGCAATTTTCTCAGAGACCTCATATCCTATCAATTTTTGTATAGCACAGAACGAATAGTTAACCTTAATGAGATAATACGAGACACACACATCTGTAGAATTAAATTTTAACTTCAACTTGTGGTTACTCTTTATTTTGTTATTTCAATATTTTTTGAATTAGATCAAATGGCTAAGAAATAAAAGATAATATTAATACTTAATTGGTTTTAAATATGTTCTTAAATCTGTTTGTCATGTGTAAACTTTTCAAAAAGCAATTGTTAAGATTCAAATTTTATCAAATGTGTAAAAATTGTAATGAAATTCGGTCATGAAAAATACAATAATATGCTGATATACCCCATTTGCAACATAAATATCAATTTTTTACAAATTCAATACTGAAAAAATCATCACATCTTTGAATTTTTTTAACAACATAAAATGATCGATTTTATTGCACTTTCGGGCAAACCATCCCAAATAGTGATTTTGAAACATAGCCAATAAACATAGATAATTTGATTATATGACGAATAACGTGTTTATCTTTATGACAATTATATTATACATAAATATTAAACTAAAAATATCTCAAAATCAAATCTCTCAAAAATTCAATCCTTATTTAGTCCTACTTTATCTCAATTTTATCTGACTGATTTTGATCGAATTAGAGAATTCACAACATCATCCCAATATATTAATAAAATATTTTGAATTAATTCAATTTTATTATCAAGTGGACTTTACCTCAAAATCATATCACATCCAACAATCTCATTGATACCTCATTTATATGAATCATTCCAAAAATCAGACTTTTGAAATCTTAAGATTTGAGTTTATTTAATTTCTCCATTTCAATTTACATATCTAATTTTTCGTAGATATATTGTTTTCCCAATATTTATCATATTTACCAGTTTTCCTCGATCACATAAAAAATCATTCTGACATACAGGCTCAATTTTTCTTGTTCTTTGAAATTTTGATAACCCATAGAAACATAAAATCAAAAATATATAATGCAATTTCTCTTCGCGTTCTTTCTGCAAAAGACTTTATGTCTCCAACAGATGCATTTAGAAACTGGCAAAGAGAAAGTTACTGAGAATTTCATTTTTCAAAACAATTTGAATGATTTTAAATTACCAATCTCTTTAAATAACCAACCAAGAGTTGGATTAGAAGATTCTGCTTCTTTAGAGCTTCAAGTCGTCCACCAATCAATCGATATAGCTAAAAATTATCATAATGGAGATGTTTTACCTATAAAATTTACAGTCAAAAGTGCTTCGAAAGTAACAGTTACTTTCAACTTATACAAAGGATCAACCTTGATCAGCTCATCTTTGAAGGAAGAATTCAATGTTCAAACAACACAATCAGAAACAAGAGTGATTAACTATACAATTCAAGATCTTAGATCTGGAACTTATACATTAAAGCTTGTTGCCCAAAATACAAAAGGTGAGTCTGCTCAAAAGACATTACCTCCATTTTCAGTTGAATATTCAACATTCATCCAAACACTCTTTGTCAAACCAAAATATTCAACAGGAGATAAGATTCTTATCAAAGGTACCTTCCAGGAAGTAAGCAGTACTCAGGCAATTTTCTTCGCAGTCAAGTTTGGTGAAGATGGAAACGAGATTCTCTCTCAACCCTATATTCCAAATGGCCAAAGACAAGAATTCGTAATTGAAGCAATTGCAACAAAAGCGGGTTTTTACAACTGCTCTGTTTACGCTAAGATTGGTGAACTTTCAACTTCACCATCATATGTCTCAATTATTATTTCAGATAGACCAAAACTTGTAGTTACACCCAATTTTACAGGAAGTGAATTCGATGCAGGATCAAATCTTTCATTTAGCTTACTTTTAACTGATGATTCCAAAGGTAATATCATTTATGCAATCGATGGTAATGAAAGTTTCATCAACTATTCAGTTAATGTAAATAAAACAATCCCATTATCAATTAATTTAGGCCAATCTTGTCCTTACAGAAAACAACCATACTTACTCACTATCTACGCAAGAGATAAATATGGAATTCAAACTCCTGATCCAAAGTATTCATTAATTTTCACAGTTCTTAGCAAGCCAAAGTTAGTTGACCTCCAGATACCATTAAGAGCCGATCCAGGCCAAGTTTTCAATTTAAATTTCACAGTTGACGACAAAGATAACGGAAAGAAACTTTACCTTTTTGCAAAAGGTTTTGGAACAGCAAATACCTTCCGTGAAAAGTATGGGCCTGTAAAATCAAACGGCCAAAAAGGTCAAAAACATACCCTTGTATTCAATTATCCATCAGTATCAGACCGATATAATACATCTTTCACAGTTACAAGTAGACTTGATTTTATTGAAACTTCAACTGAAAATTCAGATTCAAATGTACTCAATTACACAATTCTTTCATCCGAAGTTCCTAACTTAGAAGTTCAATGGCCAACAGATACAGTTTTTACTTCTGATGAAAAGATTGAATTGGATCTCACAGCAACAGATGATAATAATGGTACAATTACATATTACTACAATGGTAATGAATATAACAGCGATTCCTCTGCTCCCAGCAGATATGAAGCAAAAGTAAAGACACATATCGCTTTATCAATACCATCATATGTCACATATAGATCAGAGAATTCTGGACTTAATAATTTAACAATTGTACTTACAGATGATTTCGGTCTTCGATCCCAACCTGCAACACTTAAGTTTAACATCAGGAACAAATTAAATATCACCAGTGTTAATGTCCAGCCCTTACTTTTAAGAGAAGAAAACAAAAGCAAAGCAATTACCTTCACAGTATACTATGACAATGTCGATCATGGCAGAAATATTTCTTTGTTCATCCAAGAAGGAACAGGACAAATCTACCATTGGGGTCAAAGAACCAGAAGTGGAAAGGGTCTTATAGTCCAAGGAACACAGGCAATAGCGTCTCACACCAACATGAACTTCCCAATAACATTCTGGTTTGAAGATGATAATGTTCCTGATAGAAATACAAAGAATCGTGAATCCAACAAGTATGTTGTCTATGTCAATATCACAAGAACCCCAAATATGACAAGTAACTGCCCATCACCAAGGTCATTCAATAGCATTGATCCATTAACAGTTTCAATGCTTATTAATGATGATACTAATGGTCATATCAAGTTCTTCATTAATAGTGAAGATATCAATCAAGACTACTTTTACAACACAACAGATGGCGTTTCAAGAATCAACCCAACCATTACTTTCCCACCAGGAGATAAATTCAAGTATGGAAAATACAACCTCACATATTATCCTGTCGATGAATTCGGTGTCGATCCAATAGAACAGTCCAAGAAGAGGGACTGCCCAATTGAATACCGAAGTAAGCCAATACTTTCAAATTGCAGTCTGTCTAAGACACAAGCAGATAATGATGATATTGTATACGCTTCAGGAAAGATTATTGATTATGATGTTGGAAAGACACTTTACATCTTCCAGCAGATTCAGGGCCAAAGTCCAATGATTATTGGTAATTTAACAACAGTTAAAGCTGGAGAAGTCCAGAGTTTCAACTTATCATTAAGGAATATTGTAATGCTTACATCTGGCTCTAAAACAATTGATATTTTTGTTTGTGATCACAACGAAACTACTGGCCTCGATCCACTCTCATTTTCAAACTATTCTCACCTTACAATCTTCATGGCAAATGATCCAGATATAATTGTCACCTTCCCAACAGAACAAATTTATTCGCCAGATGAAACATTTAACATCATAATCAATGTAACAGCAGATCTTTCAGGAACCATAAAAATATATAACGCCTATCCATACAGTTGGTATTCCCCACAATCTACTATTAATTACAATAAGTCTGGAATTTATACAGGAACATTCATTTGTCAAACTTCACAATATTCAACAAGTCAAACAGTATATGTTCTCGCTGTTGGCCAAAACAATACAAAATCTAAGATGTATCAATTTCCTATTAAAATTAGGAAAGCGCTGAAATTAGATTATGTTAAAATGAGTTCAAGAGTACTTTCTCCAGGCGAAACTTTGACATTGAATCCAAAAATTATGTCAGGTTACTCTTCAGATATATATTACGCTACAGATATTTATGTATTTGTAAAGATCGGAGGCACACTTTATGACCCTGAAAAACGTCCAGATCATGATGCCCCTGATGACTATGCTTATTCAGTTTCTCCTCAAATACCACTTGATGCTAAATCTGCTAAAAATGTTAAAGTGGTTGTTTGGGCTCAGTATGAAAAAGATCCAAAGAACCCAGGTAAAAACTCTAAATCTAATGAATGGACATCCACAATTATAATCACAAAGACACCAGAAGTAGATTTCAACTTCCCAATGGAAACACAGTATTATGGTTATGATGATGAATTTAGAGCCAACGTTGTAATTTATGATGATTCAAAGGGAACAGTCAAAGTTACAGCTCGTCAACGTTATTCATATTATTCATACTATGGATATGATAATTATCACACATATACAATCTATACAACATCATATTCAACTTCTTCTAGTGGCAGTACTACAACAGTTGATCTTAATTTCAAGATCAATAAAACAATCAAATATTCTTCCTCATTATACAACACTCTCTATTTCACGATTACAGTTACTGATGAATATGGCAAACAAGCAACATCATACGAAAAAACTTTCTATTTGATCAACAAGCCTGTTATTAACAGCTTCACATTTACAGACAAATCTGTGGCATTGCAAAAGTCATACATTTCTGCAAAAGTCACATTTACTGACCTAGATGTATCTAAGTACTTATATTTCTATTACTCAATTAATGGAGCAGAATACAAATATGCAAATGACTATATAACATCAAATGGAAAGCAACAAATAAACACACTTCAACTTTATATTCCATCTGATGCACCATTAGGTATGAAGAGTATATCAATCATGATTAAAACTATAAGTAGTGGTAGGAATGCAAACTCAGAAGAATCATCAAACTCTATCATAATTACATTCAAGCCATCTTACACATTAGATAACCTTCCAGAAGATGCACTTTATTCAGATGATGGATTAGTTCCAATCACAGGTACATTGAAGTGTGATGGATATGCTAAACTTATTTTAACTGTTGGTACAATTGAACTTAAACGAATTATTCTCGATCCAAAAACATTGACAAATGGAAGGTTCAAAGATTCATTTAAAGTTCCAGCTGGATTAAGCTACGGAACAATCAACGTTTATTCAAAACTTGTTGATTCTAATGATAATGAAGCTACCGCGAAATATACTTTATCATTCTTGCACAAGAATAAGCCAGTAATTACAGATTTGTCCTTATACAATGACGTATTATCACCATATGGCCCATGGTCATTCTCTGTAGTATGTCAAGATCCTGATAATGGCAAGAAATTATATCTATATGGACAAATCGGAGATGAGGAACCACTTCTATTCACAGATTATGGAGTTTCATCAATTGGAAGTAGTCAAACAATCTACGCGTCCACACCATATGGTACATTTACTCAGTTATATGGCAAACAAACATTTAAGTTATGGTTGTCAGACACCAAGAATAGCACAATCAGAACAGGTCTAGGTGTTTCTGATATTTTCGCGAGAACAGTTATTTTCAGTTACGTTCCTGATTTTAGTGTAACATATCCAGACTCACATTATTACACTAGTGGTGCCACAGTTCAAGCAAGCTACACAATGAAGGATGATGGAAAAGTTACACTCAAAGTATATATTGATGAAGAAGAGATTAAGGATCTCGCTGAAGATATTGAACTTGATAATACAGAACGTACAGGAACTAAGAATATCAAGCTTCCTGATGACTTAACGTATGGAAAAGAACACAACATCATGCTAACTTATGTTGATCACTACGGCTTCCAACCATTAGGAGAATTCTTGTACTTCCATATTGTAAACCAACCGAACCTCACAAAGGCTTCATTTGTCAAGCCATTTGCTCTTCAGTCAGAAGTTATTGAATTTGAAGGCTATTTCAATGATTTTGATAAGGACAAATATCTTTATGTTTTCGTCCAGCTTGGTGACAAACTCATTTCATCTGAAACACAAAAGATCCAATCTAATGGAACTGCTAACCAAAAGTTCCAGTTCGGTTATGAGATCCCAGGAAATGAATCTATTGGAAACAAAACAGTTACAATTTGGATGTTAGCTGAATCTAACTATTATCCATCATTAGATCCACTATTGAGTTCCAACAAGGTTGAATCAGTTCTTTTCATCACATACAAACCATCTCTTTCTCTTAAACCAATTGTTAAGAATATTTACAACGATGGCGATCAGATCACCATCATTGGTTCAATTAGAGCCAACTCCAATGTCAATATGCACTTCATGATTGACTCAGTTCTTCTCAATGATACAAAGAAGATCACAGTCAGCGAATCTCCACAAGAATTCGAAGTCAAGGTTGGTATTCCAGTCAACTTCAAGCATGGCAAGCATAAAATGAATGTTTGGGCTGTCGATGTTAGTGGACAGAACACAAGCAACTTCGCTCTTGACTTCAACATCCAAAATCCACCAAAGCTCCTTAGTGTCAGCGTTGCTAAGGACAGAGTTAGAGTTGGTGGTAAACTGAAAGTTCTTGGTACAGTTCGTGATCCAGATGTTGGAAACAATATCTCATTCATAGTCAGTATTGATGAAGGAAAACAAGAACCGTCTTACACTCTTCAATCTGACTCCACAGTTCAAGACTTCTCATTTGTCTACCAGATTCCACAATCTCTTGAAGTTGGAGATCATCAGCTCACACTTTTAGCTATTGACACAGATAATCTCGTATCTTCTCCAGCAATTGTTCAGTTCACTGTTTACAAGTCATCTGTTAATGATCCAGAGAATCCTAATGATCCTGATGAAACAGGTGGAGACAACGCAGATTCTAAGAAGGCCAATACAAAGAAGAAGAATAACGGTAATGTTGGTTTGATTGTTGGTATTGTTATTGTTGGTATTATCTTATTAGTTCTTTGTGTCTTGGCAGTTATCCTCTTAATCCAAAGAAAGAAGAATTCCCATCCAGACTCAGCCAGTGATAATTCTGATATAGAAGAACGTGAAACACAAATTTCTACTAACATCAGCTTAGAAGAAACAGCAACCAAAGATAATCCATTGTTCTCATCAGAGACAATCACACAGAACAATGATCCATTCTCTGATGAATTCGAAGAAAGTCAGAAACCTTAAATTTGATTCTATTATAATAAAAATGCGCTATATATTTTAAATCATTACACCTTTTTTCCTTTTTCGACAAAGAAAAGTTGACTGAAGAAAATAGAAGCTGTCTTTAACGGTTTCAAAAGTCTTGGACCTTTTCTGTTGTATTTTTTGGAATTTATGTATCGTGGAACTGATAAACATTGGATTGTTCATTATAACAAATATGGAATCTTTTAACATTTTCCTCTTGAGTAGATACATCTATTATATTTATATTGTTTGTTTGAACTTCAGATTTTGTGACAAATGATTTATCGATAAATCTAAACAGCATAGCATAACTAAATCCTTAAGCATCCTATGTTTTAATAGAAATCATTATGTGTTCTATGAAGAAATTGTTAAATACAAAGCAATTTTTGTTAATGAGCAATTAGATTAATTTCAAAGCTATTGCGGTGATACAAACAATATATATCCTAATGTGTGTATGATATATAGCTGTTAAAAGAAATATCACTACTTTTGCTTTGCTATTTCGAAGATAGACAATTAATATTCAATTAATCAATTCAACGTTGCGAAAAGGTATGTGAGCTTCAACACCAGAACCTAATAATGGGCTTCTAACAAAATATGGTTGTCTTTCGATATCTTTTCAAAATTGAGAACTTTCTCCGATGTAAAAAAATTAAAAATTGTTAGATATAGAATGCACGTGCTTTTTATTTTTTGCTTTTAGTAAACTTCACAGTTTTTTGTAAATAAAAAATAATCAGATCCGAAAGTGAATTCTAATGCTTTGGCTATTAGCTACTTTCGCTGCATCAGACGTTCTCATTGCAAAACCGAGTAAATACAATATTCAATTGATAGATCATTCCGAAATTGTTGTTATTGATTTTGATGCAAATCCTGAAGTGAATGCACGCAGAGCTAGTCTATCTGGATTTTCGGATTGCAAACACTATATGATAATCTCAAATCCGAGCGACGATTTACGAATTAATGACGAATTTATCAAAACTCAAATTTTTGAAATCAAATCACCACAGAATCTTTACTTTTACAGTGAAAATATGACTAACATTTACATTGATGTTGTTAATGTACCAGCTTCTTGTAATACATTGGAATTTCTTATTAATCCAGTCACCGGAACGACGTATCAATATAACTCCGAAGTAAAAGAATTAACTACACCTTCTTATTACTGTTTTGTTGCATTTTCAGAAGGAGAATTTGATTTGAACGTCAGAATTAACTATCCTAAGTTACTTGAATACTCAGCGTATGACATGTCATCCACCACATCCCTTACTAGTTATTCTAGTGAACAATTCGTTACGACTAACTCAATATGTTTCGTATTTACACCAGATTCAAGGCGCTCATCAGTTTCCTTTATATTTACAGTATCATCAAGGTATTCTAACCTTCCAAATCCTAAATTTTTATATGATGATACAAAAGAATCTTATTTGACCATAAATCCTGTCACAGTCGGCACCAAATTTGCTGATTACCCAGTATTAACTTATGGAGTTCACTCAGAGCTCATAACTTCCACTGTAAAGGAATTTAAAGTTGCATCTAAAAGTTACATCGTATTTACCAACTGGACAGGGCTTAGCGGAACCGTTTATTACGGACAATCTTCATTGGACATCCTTGGATACACAGGAGTTGTAGCAATTTTATTTAATTCTACAGGAACTATGGAACTCAAGTCCTCTCTTGATTCATCTGAAGCAACATTTGTTGTACATTCACTTAAAGTTACTTGTAATGCCATTGTTACATTGTCTGGCAAAAAATCTTTCAAATTAGAACTCAAAGGAGGTTCCGATTATTGCATGGTATCAGCTTTCAAGTCAGGAGTGGTCAAAATAGAAGACAGCTCCAATACTCTTAACAAAGATTATTTATATAATAATACTCGATATTCTTTAGAAGAAAGTACAGTTCCTACCTTCACAATATTTAACCAGATCTATATATTCGGAGATGCATGGGTTAAATATACAATCAAGCCTTCAAAGACAGATAATTCCGAAAGTTACGTTCTTGAAGGTTATTCACCACCATATTCTTCATATTCTATCAGTAATAGGACATATGAACGCCTTAATACAGGTAAATGGGAAACACATAAAGGACTTTCTGGATTTGAAATATTTGTCATTGTTTTCTTTGCTCTTGTTGCATTTATTGGTATTGTCATATTATTAGGCATATGTATATACAAGATAAGACAAAAGACAAGGAATTTATTGAACCAATCAATTCCTTTAGAAGATAATGTAACAGAACGACCTTTAAACACTGTAACTACTACACGTAATAGTTATGAAAATGAAGTAAAGAATCAACAAGAACTAGAACCTCCTTCTCGTCCTCCACAACAAATTTATGCTGCTCCTCCTGAACAACAGCCTTATTATGCTCCACCTGTTTATCAGGCTCAACAACCAGTTAATCCTTACCAACCACCACCTTCAGATTATGATAATCCTTATAATTAATTGTAAAATAAAAAATTAAAAATGCGATTTTTTTTTTATAATTTTGTTTTGTTTTTACTCAAAAAATGATAATCAATACCACTGAATAATATATTGATTGAAATAATTTTATTAAAAATTTCAAACAATCATAATCAAGGAATAATTCATAGCCTATCAAATAAACTATGCACCAATAAAATAAATCATGGAAATAGAAAGATTCATGTTATATCCGAAATTTTCTCTTTAGGTATAATACCAACGAACTGACCTACTCTTTTACCAATATTTTTGACACCGTTCCATACTCCTCTTCCGACAGATTTTATTCCATTCCATATACCTCTTCCAACATTTCGAAAGAAGTTTCCTATCTTACTGAAGAAACCCATTTTACTATATGTAAAAATCTAATGTCCGCCTAGTCTCTTACGTTTCCTGTTGAGTTCCATAGCATTCTTTAACTGGAGCTCATACATTCTGTTTCTCCTCTGGTAGAAAACATATTCTGGGTCAACTCCTGTGTTCGCGTCATCTGCATAAAGTTGTTTATATCCCACTTCAGGGTTTGTATAAAACTCTTTCCATCTCATATTTGCATACCATGGTGGCAAACCTAACGCAGCGTCATTTGACATGGCAGTTTGCATTTGTACATCTGTTGGCACTTGACCATAGTTTGCCATTGCAGTTTGTATTCTAACTTCATTTGGAATATTCTCTGGGTTTGGTTGTCCAGGTTGCTGTGCATTCGCTAAGTTCTGTGCGTCCATTTAATATTAGATAAAAATATCTCTTACGAGTACATATACTGAACATTTGCAGGCATTGGTTCATCTTCATATTCTCTGTACTTTTCTGCCATGTCAAATAAATAAATGACACAATGGAAAAAACCTAAAACAAATAGTCCTATTTCAAACCACATTTACTTACTAATAAAATTTCTTTGTTATGACACTTTCTCCAGTTTATAGGACCTCTCTCATATTCTCTCTTGTCATATATAAACTCATAGTCATGTATGTCCTCTAACCATCTCATAACGGTTTCCAAACCACTTTTATCGGATGTAAAGTAAAAGCATGGATGGTTATGTATAACGTCTAAAGTTCTAAAGAGTCTCTCAAAGTCCAGTCTACTTGGTATTGAAAATCCCATGTGTTATAGAACGGCGGGTCCACTATAAAGAAAACATTTTCCTTGTCTTTATATTTTTCATACAACTCTGTCCAATGACATCTCACAAACTCTATACCCTCAATATATTTTTCTATGTCCTCTTTGAAAACATTTGTATAGTTAAGATATAAAACTTTTGACATAAGTGTTTCAATGTCATGAACTCTTATAGCACCACTATATAATAGTCTAGCAGATATACTATCCCAGTCTATATATTCTGCTTTTTTCAAAACCTCTCTCACAATATTTTTCTTATCTAATGGTATACGTTCCATCTTACCTATAGGTATCTTTTCTTTTAACTCTTTCAATATATTGTTTGTGTCTGGAATATGTTTGAGACGGTTCATATAGTTGTCGAAGTCATTGCATATAATCTTTGAGTCAGGAAATACGGTATGACATAAATGGGATATTAGAAACTTCCACCGAACAAATCTACAAATGTTAGACCATTCGGTAGTTTCTTAAGTTCTCTCAATATAATATCTTTACATCTACTCTTATTTCCAAAGAACGGTAACGGTGGTTTTGTAAAATTCATTTATATATAATAATAAAAATGTTTTTACCCGAAAAGTGACAAAACATGAAAACATATATAATTTGTGAAAAGCGACACAAAATGTGACATTTAAAAAGTAACACCATTAATATGATGTAAATAACAACGGTTTTGGTTTTGTCACCGGCTGGTCGGCTGGGGTTCGGTCCTCCTCTTGGGTCTTGGGCAAAATTTCTTATGGGCTAGAGGGCGCAACGCGCCTGGAAGCCCCACTTACCTGACCTTAATACTATTCTCTTAACTATTATATCAATCACTGCTTAATGATATTCCCCTTGTTTTCATATCTTTCATTCTTTTATAAAATTCTCTTTTTCATATTGATCTCTGCTTTATGAAATTCTCTTCTGCTTTATATATTAGATTCTCTCGGACCCGGATATGCCGATATACTTAGTTCAAATAGTTCTCCAAAGCCTTCTTCAAGACCTCCTCCAAAACCACTTGATAAGAAGGCTTCTAAGAAAGGTTCTGAAAAAGATAAATGCAATATTGCATAATTGGAAGGAGCATTTTCTAACTCTCTTGTAGATTGAAAATCAAAAAGGATTAAAAATAAACATTTTTTTATTTGATAAGCTTTTACTTCTTAGAAAAATTGCAAATACTCAGATTCATGAGGGTCTGAGACTATTTGGATGCGAAACTATGCAAACTCTAATAAAGAATGCAGATAAATTATTAACTTTAGGCGCTTACCCTTTTGAAAACATTGACATTAACCATAAAAATAGTCACTTTCAATAAAAAAAGTGTTAATCTCTTTATTTTAAAGCATATTTTTATCAAATGGACACACAACAATTAAATATTGAACTAGGCTCTATGATGGATGATGTTTTGTCTGATATATTATCATCATGAAATTATTTGAATTCGAAAATCAGAAAATCAGAAGATTTTGAAGTGTTGAAACTAGTGAAACAATGGCACAAGTTTACATATATGATTTATCCATTTCTTGAATAAAGAAGAATTGCTTTTTTTATTTCGTTTGGTCGATATTTATTGAATTAACTTTTTTTCTAAAGCGAAAATTCTTTATTATTTGTCTCTTCAATTTCTTTTTAAATGTTATCAATTAAAAACAATGCAACCTCTCAAAATTTTTACTCACAAAAGTTTTCCAAGTAAATTCTTATTAAACATCGTATAGTGGTATTATTATTTTTGTTGAGACCATTCAAAAATTGAATAAGAATTTTTTTGATCCCCAAAATTCTGAATGAGTGACTCCTATGACAGCACGGAAGAAGATCCATTGATTGAAAAACCAACAAAACCAAAACAAGCCGAAAACAAGGCTACCCCAACAAAATGGGGTCTAATTTCATATATATTTTGCGCTATCGTAGGTTTATTTGTAATAATATTTGTGTTATTACATTATTTTCTTAACCCCTCAGATAATTACTTCATATACTTCAATGATATACATATTGATCATGAATACGTCTATACCAAATCTCGCCAAAAGAATTGTCATGAAAATATTAATCCAAATGGACTAAATTTCACTTTTGGGCAATATGGATGTGAAGCTCCCCATGAATTAGTTGAATCGTTCTTTGAAAACCTTAAAAATATCGCTCCAAAACCTAAATTCATTGTGTTTGGAGGAGATTCAACATATACATGGACATACAATCATACGTACAAGACGATACAAGAAGATTTATCAAGAATTACAACGAATCTTAAAAATTTATATCCAAAAGTTCCATTTATTTTAAATTTGGGCAATGCGGAGTACGATCCCAACTATGGAGGCTACAATTCAGATATAGAAACATTCATGAACACTTCAAAAATTTTGGGATCTTATTTGACAGATCAACAAAGGGAAACTTTCGAAAAAGGAGGCTATTATTACTATGACTATCCAAAGGCCAATCTACGCGTTATATCCTTGAACTCCGTTATTTACTCAAAAAGAAGAAATTTGACAGAATCAGATTTATACGGCCAGATTTCATGGTTAAAGAATATAATGAACACAGAATACAAGACATTAATACTTTTCCATATACAGCCAGGCGTTAACTACGCTGAAAAGAAGAATTCTTGGTATGATTATCATATCAACCAAATTTCACAAGTATTTGAAGAAAAACAACCAGATTACTTACTAGGAGCACATGTGCACCTTGATATGCTCATGCCGTTCTTTAATTCCAAGAATCTTGAAATAATTGCTTTAAGCAATCCAGCTGTTTCTCCGAAGCACGACAACAACCCTTCCTTCAGACTGTATTATATGAACAAAGGATTGTCCGATTACAAGCAATTTTACGCTGATATAAAGATAATCCGTCATTTTTAAATTGGGAACTTGAATATCAGTTCACAAAACTTTACGAACAATCTGATCTATCACAGAAGTCGTTAAAGTCTGCTGTGAAGTGGATTTCGACCACATCAAAAGGAATGTGGACTTTTCTTGAACATGTTTATTCAAGAGGTTTTGCAAACAATGCATTTTATCAGTGTATGCTTGGTTCAGCTGATATTGACCATTATAATTCTTGTGTTTCATCAAAACCACAAAATGAAATATTATTAATGAAAAATTAGATTAAATTTCCATGTGTATATTGCGATATGATAGTGAAGACAGCACTTGTTTTTTTCATGATTTATTAATATAGAATAATAAAATATAAAATTTCTATTCTTTAATTTCTTTATTTAATAATCTGAACACATAAAAATTGCAATAATAATCTGAGCTTACTTCAAATGCAAATTCGTTAGAGAAGAATTTCAAAGTCTGTTGAGATTTTTCAATTCTCGATTTTTAGGTTCCGTTAGAATCGATCTAATCATTGAAAGCTGTGACAGACTTTCATTTTTCTTCGGACTGTTTCAGAGAATTGAGCCTGAGTTCAATTCTCTGAAAAGTCTGGAAAAATATGTTCAGCTCTTGCTTCATTTTTAGTAAATGTTAGCATACCAAAATTCCCCGAAAGTTGTTTACTTTTTGCAGCTGAAATTGTTATTATTTTGGAATGAGCCGTTTTAATTTTGATATATTCTTAATGAAAAATTAGATTAAATTTCCATGTGTATATTGCTATATGGTAGCTAAGATAGCATTATTTGTTTTCATGCTTTATAAATATAGAATATAAAAATTTTAAATTATATATTCTTTAATTAATTTATTTGTTTTTATTTAGGAATGATGAAGAATGATGAAAAATTTTCCAGACAATTTTAGATGATTGCGAGAGAATTTCCTTTAATACATTTTTTTATATAAGAAAATCATCTCATCGAATTACTTGTTTATTATGGAATGCAATGGATAATTCTACAAAATCTGTATATACTATTTTTGCCAATGAAATGAGGATCAATACATGATATATTTCCCTTCACAGCGTAATTATAAAGAAAGAAATCAATATTTTAGAAGAAAATACCGTATGATGGAAATATATCCGGTATGACACTATTGTAATAAATTTTGACGATGGGAATAAAAAGAAAAATGTACGTTTTTTTATCGTTTTGAACATTTTGTAAACAAATTCAGAATTCTATGGATCTGTAATAATGATAATAATGACAACATTATCATCAATAAAATGGTTAATTTTATAAAGTCTGATTCATCAATCAACCGCCAAATTTTCTGATTCTTGCAAAATAAACTGTCGTCTGAATTTCCATGATCCAATTTTTTTCATTGTTTTATCATTTTATAAATGTTTGCCTCATATTTAGCTACATTTGCTCTTGCCAAAGAGATTGCTGTACCTGGATCCTATTCAGATTTTGTATCTTCAGAGTTACAGCTGTCGTTTGTTTCGAAAGATAATTTCGATTCTTTTGTCATCTTTCCAAATACAGAAAATTTCATTTACAACGATCATCCTCTTAAAAAGATCTACACGAATCCAACATCATTAAAAATAACTTCAAATGGAAACTTTCTAAATTATTCTTTTATTCAAATTGAAAAAGGTCAATGCGATTCTTTAGACTTTATTCTTAACAAAAACATAGATGATTGGGTTGAAATAAAGTCTTCATATCAGATGGCAAAAATCGCATGCTTTGCATTTGCTAATTCTCAAATGCCAAAATCAAATTTCTATACATCTGAAAGAAGATACACGTTTCATATATTCACGAGTTACATTTTGGATGAAAAATCATTCATTAAATGGGATACTCTACAACTTTCATTAAATTATACAACTGCAATGCTTCAAGTCCAATATGATACTCGCAGTGAATATTCATTTGGTATAAACAAAGATAGACAAAAATCTGAAGCTGATTTTTATTGCGTTCCATTATATGATTCTTCATTGGAATCATATTTAATTATTGATGACATTGTTGACTTTAGATACGGAAATTATAATGTAAATGTTAAAGAATCATATAATTTGAGCATTCCAGCTAATTCGTATATGATTTCTTTCGGTCTTAAATATGCAAGGTTCCATATTTCCTGCGGAACGTATTCAGAGACATTCCATCAAGGTGATTATCAAAAAGTTGTAGGATGGTCATTTTTATCCGATTCATATTTGAGAATTACAGGATACGATAATATATCATTTGTTATTATTAAAAACGCATCAAATGTTTTGCACTGCAAAGAAGATGTTACAATAATCGGAAGTAAAAGTTACACACTAAATTTCTACGATAATTCCAAATTATGCGTCTATGCTGTTGCAAATGATGGAGATATCCAAGTTAGTTATCGTAAGTATGCAAAATTTTATGATGAAAATGGAGCTGCTACTACTCCAAAGGATAAATATCAAAATTCCGTTGTTGCTGTAATCGATACTCCAAATAAGAATTCAAGTATCAAGTTTAAAGTTGGAGGAAAATCAGATAATCCTTATGTTATTCGAAACACCATCTATTCAAATAATTTCAGAGCATATCTTATCGCTGAAAACGGTTCAAAGAATCTTAACGACGAATGGAATGAGGAAGATCAAACCTGGCTAAAAGTGATTTTGTATTCTATTTATGCTTGTTGTGCTATTGTACCTCTTGCATTGATATTACTATTTTATTGCCTTATTAAAAAGTGTTATGTACCAAGAGGGAAGAAGGAAGCAAATGATGACAAATTGCAGCCATTAACAGCTTAAAAAATATCTATTTCATGCAAATAGTTTTTTAAAAGCTTTATTTTATTTAAATAACAAACATATATGTGAACTATCATCATTTCTGAATGAAAACACATTTGAGAATAGTTCTCTCATATCTGAGTTATTTCTTATACTGCTTTAATGATTTAGTACTTTATAAGCCTTTTCATTCATCTATCGGCGCGCTCCGCGCGCCGATAGATGATATATATAGAAGATTAATCGACATTTTTTCGCAAGTAGTGTAACAATCAAAAATCATTTTTAAATATCGATTTTTTAAGACTTAGTTTTGATAGTTTTCACTCAAAAATTTTCATCATATCTGAAATAATATCACAATATTAATTTGAGCTATTTGATTGGCGCTTTGCGCCAATCAAATAGCGAAAAAAAAATAACTTTTCAAAATATTTAATAATTATTTATCATCAAAAGTCATAAATCAATCTGATATTATTACATCATATCTGATTGCAAATCGTAATTTGTTGAAATAGCTTTGCCGAACAAACAACCAAAGTTGTTCTCAAAATATGATTAGCGGCGCGAAGCACCACTACGCAAACGATAGACAAAAGGTGTATGAAAAATTGAAAGAAATATTTCATTTTCATTTCATATTTTCATATTTTCTTAACCAGACATTCCGCACAATCTTCTAATGTATTACATTGATCTAATGCCTCATTGGTGTTCCATCATACCTTAAATGATTCACAATTTGCACATTTGGTTACTGAATTTTAGAATTGAGGAATATTATTCTCCAAATAGGATCCTTACTGTCTGATAAATTGAAAATTTTCGAAATTCGAAATTTGTATGTAAAATTACGATATCGTGAAATTTACACTTTTATTACGTTTTTATACAGGCGTGAAGCCTGTTAAAAATGCAATAAAAGTGTAATTATTATACTAATGATTATTTTTAATTCTAATGCCGAACAGCATTTGAATCAAACCTACCCCCTTAAAAAATTTTTGGTGGAAAATTGGAAAATGTTAACAAAGGGAGAAACTAACCAAACTCATTATGACAAATTGATGGAGATTTTTGCAGGATATAATGATGTCTACAATGCTTTGTACAGGCTGAAAACAAATGACGAAGAAAAATTAAACGCATTATACAAAAAAATCAGACAAAACCTGATTGACTCTTATCAAATTCAGCCTGATGTGATTATCAATGATATATCCGAACTTTCAATTTATAACAACCGCTACATGAAGTCATATTTAGCGATTGCCAAACAAATTGTTGACGAATACCATCTAAATCAGGTCAACAAAATCAACATGGTTTTTAATTACCTTTTCTACAAAGAATACAATATTGTATTGAATGAAAACGGGCAAAAAAGTTTTAACGATTTTGAAGATTCTCATTATTCATCTGATATTCACGAACAAAATACAATTTACAGATCTATTATGGATGATGACAAAATATCATTGATAACCTTTACAGAAAGAGAAGGATTTGATAAAAATCAAGAATTAAAAAGTGATTTATATCCATATTCAGCTGAAGGTCTTTCGTTACTTGAATTATGCTGTTATCATGGATCTGCTGATTGTTTTAAGTTTTTAATAACGAAATTTCAATCAGAAATCACTCCAGATTGTCTTAGATTTTCGTTTTTGAGTGGAAATCAAGACATTATGAATGAATGCTTGAAAGTACAAAAACCAGATAAGATATGCATGAAATATGCAATTATATCACACAATATCGATTTTGTCACATTTTTGATGAATGAACACAACATAGAAATTGATTTAGAAATGTGCTCTCAATACAATAATCTTCAATCATTTTTAGTTTACTTGGATCAAACAAATGACATCAACGCATGTTTTGTTTATTCTCCGAATTTCCATCTTTCATCACTTTTAGAATATTTTATTTCAAATGATGCAGATATCAATGCTAAAAACGAATATGAAGCAACCCCTCTTCATTGGGCAGCCATAGATGGTAGCAAAGAAACAGCCGAAATTCTTATTTCAAATGGAGCAGATATCAATGCTAAAGACAAATATGGATGTACCCCTCTTCATGATGCAGCCAGAGATAATAGTAAAGAAACAGCCGAAATTCTTATTTCAAATGGAGCAGATATCAATGCTAAAGACAAATATGGATGTACCCCTCTTCATGATGCAGCCAGAGATAATAGTAAAGAAACAGCCGAAATTCTTATTTCAAATGGAGCAGATATCAATGCTAAAGACAAATATGGATGTACCCCTCTTCATTACGCAGCCAGAGATAATAGTAAAGAAACAGCCGAAATTCTTATTTCAAATGGAGCAGATATCAATGCTAAAGACAAATATGGATGTACCCCTCTTCATGATGCAGCCAGTGATAATAGTAAAGAAACAGCCGAAATTCTTATTTCAAATGGAGCAGATATCAATGCTAAAACTAAATATGGATATACCCCTCTTCATGATGCAGCCAGTGATAATAGTAAAGAAACAGCCGAAATTCTTATTTCAAATGGAGCAGATATCAATGCTAAAGACAAAGATGGTCGTACATGATCAAGTAATATTTTGAGTATGAACATATTATGTGCATGTATATATACTTTTATTGCACTTTTAACATGCTTCGCGACTAAAAATATTAATTTTCTATTCTTATCAAGAATTCATTAATATAACAATGATCATATCATCAAGGTTCAGATGTTCATTTTTAATTTTATATGTATAAAATAACACATGTAAATCCAAAAATATTATCTAAATTTGAATCACAATTTGAAATATACTAAATTTCAAAAGGAAACATTTTCTTTATATGTTACTTAACACTCATGTGCTTATTCTCAAAAATATTCGGAATAATTTTATGATTTTTAACTTTGAATTTTTATTATGATTTTGTTCATTCATATGAATACATTCGTACAAACTATCGTTGTATGATAAATTAACATTTTTTGTGATTTTATTGTATTATTTGCTTGTCTGGGTATATGGAATTATTCATGAGTTACAAAAGCAAAAATTTATTATGTGAAATTGAAAATCATTATGATGATCAAATTTCTATTCAATTGGAATTGATGTGCATATAAAAATACATGATATTCATAGTGAAATTTCTGATCTGCTATATTATGTTATATCATGAATGCAATATTTTCACCATATCTCCAGTATAGCCGTTTCATCCAAGTAATTACTTACAAGATGTTTTCTTTCATCTTTCATTTGATTTTTCCGAATTCAAGGAGTGGAAAATTTTTTTAATTCACTATACTAGTTTTCTATTCATAAATACCATTTTGATGGATAAAATATCAAATTCGAATTATATTGGCCTTTTTCTATGGAACGTCGATGGAAAACTGATGAAAAAGAAGCTTCTTTCGACGATGCAATAATAGAAATAGATTATTACAGATGTAGTGGGTATGCATTTTGGCTTACATGTATTATAATTGCGTTACTTTCAGGATCAATTTATTCAGATTCTTCATTTTTAAAATTTGCATATCTAAATAGAACCAGAAATCCATATTCAGCATTTAAATTCCTTGAAATCAGACAAACAGGCAAAAATACTCTTACTGCAGAAATTCATGTTGATTATATATTCAATATTACTAGAGAGAACTTGATAAGTCATTTGGTTCTTGAAGCCACAAACGGTGGATTCAATTTTACTAAAAGAATAAGCGCAGCAAATGATGTTAAAATGAATGACAAAAATATCACATTTTCATTCAATATTCCTGTACGAGGAATAATATATGCAGTTATCAAGTACAATAATCGGCCAATTAGCCGAGTATTTAAGTTTTCAATTGCAAATGATTCAAAATCTTCTTCTTATATCTATTGCAATGAGAATAAGACAGGCAAGTATTGTATCTTTTACAATGTATGCGTTAAAAACAGCAGAATACAAGCGAATTTCGAAGAAATTCCACACCAAAATCCAGGATTTCTTCCTTACGACTTATCTGGCGTTTTTGAGCACGTATCCAGGTACGGCAGAGTGAATATGGAAGAAGAAATATTCAAAGCCGCGTTCGTGAGGCAAAAGGAAAACATGTATTTGACAATTAAAGATTTTTTGGAACAATGCGACCAATACAAGACATTCCAAACGATTGTATTCGACGAACGTAACTACCTGAATCAGCTGAATATCGCAAATAACCTGGATGTTGTTGTTTCGGGCAGAGATCAAAAATGTTTCCGAAATTTGATGATAAATAATTTCAAATCTGACGCAACAAAGGTCAGACCATTGATCAGAAATATCAAACAACGCAAACAGGAGATATATGTGCTGAATTCAGACTCTACAATCAAAGAAATTGACTCATTAGTTGATTCCATATTAGATTTCTGCGTGAGATGCGAAATAGTCTACGCGGATAAGAAACATACGGCCAAAGGACTACTGAACATGAAGTATGAACCTCAATTCATCGTTGGAGTCCAAACAGATTCAATGATCGCAACAGTTTTCATGAATACGACATTGATATCTGTAGTTCCAAAGGGACTATCGTGTTCTGATTGGATATCTGATGCTTCTAAGGATGGTTTACGAGCAGTTCAGGTATTTCCGAAACAAAAAGCTTCAAATTGCACTTCTTACTTTTGCGATGATTACCATTGTTCTGATATAATTAAAGGAGAATTTATTGTCAATCCAGATTTGGTTGGAAACGCACTTGCTGGAATATTCAGAAATAATTGTCCTCCTCTAACTTCAAAAGTAGATTGTTTGACTGGAGAAGTATTAGAAGAAGAAAGATATTGTTATTAAATATTATGTTTGTAAATTTTTAGAAATTTCATCATTTTTTTAGAGAAAATCTGTTTAAAATAGTCTTACTATAATAATGAGTAAGCTCAGTATTATTTATTATTTGATTCATAGTTGAAGTTCTTGAATAAGCTTTAATCTAATATAAATTGACATTTAATTTGATTTTTGTTGGAATCAATATATTAATGCTTAGCCTAATATCGAAAGAAATAAGTTCTTTATCTTCCTATCTAAAATTTCAAAGATATTTTAGAAAACAATAGATTATGCACTAATTTTCTAGAATAAGAAAAATAGTGGATAAGTAGCTATGGTTATACTTATTCAATAGGGCTCTCGAGACTTCATAAATTCACTGAATGATTAAAAATGAGCCAATTTTAAGCAAGAAAAAGCCTGAAAAATATATATAATCGATAGAATAATGTTTTTAATAGATCTTGATGTCTAAAAAATGCAAAGGATTCTTAACACAATTTTAAGCTAAATAAGATCATATTTCTTTTTCTTCTTCTTTATCTCCGGATTCACTTTTAGTGAGCCGTATTTTTTCAATGATTTTATCTCCAATATCCATCACATTGTTATAAATTGATGTTCCAGTTACCATAAGAATAAATCCAAATATTTCCATTATTGACCATAATGAGATACTCTCATCATAGTGGTGAGTTGTGTAATGAAGAATCAACATGATAATCCAAACAAGAATTGTAACCGTTGCTGCAACTAATGATCTTGAAGTTGCAGAAACCATTTTTGTATAAAGAATTCCGGACCAATTATACATCATAATTGAAAAGAATGTAACAATTTGGAGACTGAGAATCTTATGATTATGAAACGTCATGTAATATGAATTCTTTAAGTTCTCATATGATCCATGATCTTTTCCATGAATTCAGTTGTAATTTGCAAAAAAATTGCAAGTGATATTACAATTCCAGCAATTCCTTCTGATCCAATGATGAATATAGGTGGAACTGGTTTCTCAACTCCTTTCATTAGTTTCTCTTCCAAAACAAAATGAATTGATGCTACGAATTGCCCACATAATGCAATTGCAATTCCTAATAAAGATTTGGACGCAAATTTGACTTTTTTGCCAAATGAATTCTTCCAACCAATGACTGATCCACCAACAAAAACCAAACCTGCAAATGCAAATGAAACACCAATTACGTGCCTCTGTTTTGGCTTCTTTTTGAGAATTGCCCATGATGTGAACATTGTGAAGAAGCAAAGAAACCTCGTAAAACTAAAATGACAGAAGCATTGCAAAATATTAAACCAATGGAATTCAAAGCTGTTTTAACAAGTTCTAGAAGAGATAACAATGCTACAACAAATGGATATTTCCATCCAAGGCTTCCAATTGGATTTCGAAATGCATCCTCCTTTGAAAGAAAGACGACTTTATTTTTGTAATAAGATGATTCATCTTTTTCATCTTCTTCCAATGTCCGAAATGGTGCTACAGTCGCTGCTTCCAAGTGTTTGGCTTCGATGTTTTACTCGATGAAGACGCAAATCCTCATGTTTTGGAAATTAACTATCGTCCTTCTCTCGATTATTATCGTGGACCTGAGAGACGCATGAAAGTATCTATGTTGGCCGAAGCAATGAGGATCGCGGCCCCATTGAGTATTGTTCAAAAGGCGATTGACTGTCGTGGATGGGCATGGAATAGCGAACAATGGTCAGCTTATGCATCAAGTTTCGACATGGCTGATGTAATTAAAGAAGAAAGGGAAAAAGCTTACCAATCTTCGAATTTCACACGAGTATATCCAACAGAAGGCCCTGAAATGAGCGTTTATGATAGAGTTATGAAGGTTGCGGATACTCTTCCTATGGATTTCCTACCTGGAATCAAACTCCCCGCCCACATTGTACGTGGCGGCGAGGCATAGTTGTTTGTTAATATAAATTTGTTTTGATATTGATTTGTATGTAATTTTTTTGATCTTGTCTTGTAGATCCAATAATGACAATAAATTTTTCACGCTGTGGCCTTTTTTATTCGATGAATATGACAGTATTATGCAGTATGTGTAAGCGGATATGGATCAAATCATTGGGAACATGTTTTGGTAAGAGAAATTGGGGTAATAGCCTGAAGTATTCAGCCAATGAAAATTTAATCAAACTGTTATTTGTCAAATTTGCTAAACTGATTTTTAAGATTATTACATATTTTCAAAATATATCTGATTTGGATGATTAATGAACTGGCTAGATAAATTTTCAGTTTTATTTCAATTTTCAAGACCATTTATTGAAAAAAGGATTTGAACAATTCATTTGCATTCTATTATAGATCAAAAATATATCAAAATGTTTTGTAGCGGTGAAATTTGAAAGGTTTGTCAATTTGTGGTTTCAACAATAAAAGTGCCAATCAATTCCTTATTAAAAATCAATCCAAATCCGACCATCCAACAACAACAACAGAGTCATCTACAGAAACTTTTTCGGCTTTTATCAAAGGGGGCTTCGTCCACAACAAAGATATCGACCAAAATTGTTCCCATTATGCTTGACATATGAAGTATAGTAATAGTGTGTATGGACTCATAGAATGACTTTCGTTTGATTTCGAGATATATTATGATCTTCTAAAATATGCATATTTTACTTGAAAACGCATATACTTTATCATATTATGAAAATTGCACAAAAAAAGTCACTCAAGACGAGCAAAATTCGATGCTTAAAAAGTAAATTGTTTATTGATTCGGCTACTTGCAGGTATTTTTTTGAAGCAACACTTTACTCGATTTTCTTTCTGCATCTGCATATAAAATATGCACAAATAAGGATTTTTAATTGAAAATATTTTTCGAATTGGGTAAATAAATCGTTAGATCTTAAATTTTAATAATCCTTTCTTCTTAAAATGAGAATGCAGTAATAGGAACTGTGTATGATAGTTGGAGTATTGTTAAATTGCGCGAAATTTTGATAAGTTTCGAAAACGATTTGTAGTGTGTTCAAATATATTAAAGTTTAATAACATGTGATGGCATCGACTGCAAACAATCGATATTATGTGATTGATGAAAATCAATATCAACATTTAAAAATTTCGAGGCTTTTTTGACTGAAAGCAATTGCTTTGGACACCTAGAACGAAGTTCTACTTGATGAATTTCTCCAATTTTTTTCTATTTTAGAAAATGCCTAAGCAATTTTCTATAAAATAATAATGTTTTTTTCAATTCTCGATTTTTTTTGGAAAAATGTGGTTAAAAAAATCGAAAAATGAAAATTTACAGAGAAACAAAACATTTTCATTGTGTTCCAAATCGATTAAACCTTTTTATTTTTGTTATTCTATAATTTTTCGACTAAGGTATGTCAATTATACAGCAAAATCAATTAACATTTTTTCAAAGATAAAGAAAAGAAGTTTACATTCCAAAATTATAAATCAGTCATAGTTTATTATCAAAAATGATATATAATTCTATATAGAGAAACTGCCATTGTTAGGAATATAAAATTAATTCTGGTTCAAATTAAGGATTATCTTCACTTGTTTAGAAACCATTGTAAATATCTAGAAAACAATCAATAATATCATAATTTTATTCACAAATGAGTTCAAGAAATATATTGTGATTTGCATTTCGATAATAAATCCGAATCAAATGTATAATAAAATCGCACATTTAGATTTCTTATCATAATAATGTTATCAATTAGTGACTATGGCTACAGAACATGAAACATTAGTTCTGTATCTCATAATCAAACGGAAGTCAAGCTGAGATATTTGAGTTTTTATCACATGATAGTATGCATAATACTATATCAGAATGACTAGTCTATCTGTTGTTTTAATATCGTTTTAAATTTTTTATGCCAAAATAACACTTTGGTTATCATTGGTAATACGTAAGGTTGCTACTGTTGTAATATTTCGAAAAAAATGGTAATTTTTTCATACGATTTGGCTAATACTGATAGAATATAATATTGAGGATGTAAGCTTTATTTGTATTATATATATATATATACATTTCAAACCTGATGCAGGATTTTGTGATCTGATTTATTGATCTTGTGAATAAGTCGCGTTATTGAATTCCCAAATATAATAACGTGCATTTTGTAATGATTGCAATGATATAATAATAGATGCAAGATGCTATATGAATTTAATGGCGACTAATTATATTAAATATAAAACATTTATTGTTTTGATTAAGGGTGCCCGATAGACGATAGACCACCTTTATATTGAGTAACAAGAATCCGAATAATCCATACATTCTTGTTCTAATAACGTTATTTTTGTGATGTTTACATTTTCCCTCCGTATTAATTAATCCAAAATTACCATAACATGATAGTATGCCTACCTCCATTACTCAGTTATTCATGGGGGTTTGTTATTAATCCCGAGTAAAGACTTCGACTTTTATCACTTATTTTTCAGATGTTTACAAAAAATTGAGGGAAAATTATTAAGAAAACTTTTGTTAATATTTGAATGCAATAGAATTTCGAAAGACCTTTATTTATACCTTCTTACACTTCGTTTAAAGCTAATTTGAGAATTTGATATTTATCATTAATTCATTTTATCATTTTATTTGCACTTTTTCAATAGAATATTGGATTTTTATTTTGAATACTATTCAAAAATTGTGTGGTTATTTGAAAAGTGTAAAAGATTTTTTTTAGATGAGTCATAAACTAATCCCGAATTATGAATATTTGGCTGCCCATATCAAAGATTATATTCAAGAGGATAAGCTTTTTGATATTTTTGAACTCAAAGATTTAAAGAAAATCTTAAAATTAGCGAACTTTACATCAGAAGATTTCATTACTCTTCTTAAACAATCTGAATCTACCCTTGATGAAAATGAGCTATATGAATGCGCTCGAAACACTAATGTTTCAATTCGCAATTACCAAGAAGTTATTTCAATACTTAAATCTGTTCGAAAATACATGAAATTATCGATGTTAGATGGAATTATTGTTTTTTAGATGAAACTGATAAAGTTATTTCAGAATCAACAATAAAAATCCAAAAACTTCAAGCAGAGTTCAACTCCATTCAAAAAGCAAAACAAAAAAGTGACAACAAAATACAATTACTTAAATTCGAACTCAAAGAAAAAGAAAGTATAATATCTCAAATTAATGAAGAAAAACCCACCGATGCGAATCTACTTAAAGAATTCAAATATCCAGATCAAGCTTCAAAAATTATTTGGAATCTCAATACTAACAATATCACAGAATCCACAAAACAGATAATTGAACTCATTAAAACCAAAAAAATTCCTCTCAAAATGGCACTTCATTTAATTGATACTATTTCAACACTTCGCCTCAAGAATATTGCTGAATATGCAAAATTTTATCAAGATATTTCAAAGGAGTTTTCTTTAATTATCAAACCAGGAAATCATGATTTAGCAACATTATTATTCTATACAGGTTTTCATTTTAAAGATTTCAAACCTAAAAAAAAGGAAGAAAACATTCTTAATATCTATAGAAAAGATAGCCTTTTATATTTTATCGCTTGGGATAAAATCGATGATCTTAAAAGCAAATTCCCAAACTTAGATATTAATGAGAGATGCGATGGTTTAACACCTCTTGAGTGTGCATGCAAATTTGGATCAGAGTTATGTTTTATATACTTGAAAAATAAAGGTGCAAAATATACTAAAAATACTGCAAAATTTGCTTGTGAAGGTGGAAATAAAATAATTTTCGCACAAATGCTAAACGCTGGTCAATCATTTAAAGGTTTAATTGACATTGCATTGATTCACCGTAATTATCCTTCAAGAAGTTTTGATCAACATCCTTCCTCAGGAATAGCAAAATTTTTGTATTATGGGAATTTTGATACTGCATCATATCTAATTCAAAATGGAAATAGCGTGAACAATAAATTTATTCTCTTTCTTTTAATATCAATCATCGTTTTATGAAGTTCACTTTCTTTTAATATCAATCATCGTTTTATTTAATTCACTTTATTTTAATATCAATCATTGTTTTATGACATTCACTTTCTTTTAATATCAATCATTGTTTTATAACATTCTCTTTCTTTTAATATCAATCATCGTTTTATTACATTCCCTTTCTTTTAATATCAATCATCGTTTTATTACATTCCCTTTCTTTTAATATCAATCATCGTTTTATAGAATTCTCATTCTTTTAAAATCAATCATCGTTTTATTTGATTCACTTTCTTTTAATATCGATAATTGTTTTATGACATTCTCTTTCTTTTAATATCAACCATCGTTTTATGAAGTTCTTTTTATATTAACGAATGTCCACTTAGCATTGCAATTAAACAAAATGCACACGAAATTATCAAATTATTAATTGAACATGGAGCAGATATCAATATTAAACTTATTAACTTTCTTTTAATATCAATCATCGTTTTATAGAATTCACTTTCTTTTAATATCAATCATTGTTTTATGACATTAACTTTCTTTTAATATCAATCATTATTTTATTACATTAACTTTCTTTTAATATCAATAATTATTTTACGGCATTCACTTTATTTTAATATCAATCATCGTTTTATTTGATTCACTTTCTTTTAATATCAATCATTGTTTTATGACATTCTCTTTCTTTTAATATCAATCATCGTTTTATGACATTCACTTTATTTTAATATCAATCATCGTTTTATTTGATTCTCTTACTTTTAATATCAATCATCGTTCTATGAAATTCACTTTCTTTTAATATCAATAATTGTTTTATGACATTCACTTTCTTTTAATATCAATCATTGTTTTATGACATTCTCTTTCTTTTAATATCAATCATCGTTTTATGACATTCACTTTATTTTAATATCAATCATCGTTTTATTTGATTCTCTTACTTTTAATATCAATCA